AGTCCCAACCGGTGGTTTTTGCTCCCCTGCCTGGCTGCCTCAGGACACTACAGGATTTCTCAAACGTGCGTGAATGAGTCAAAGCAAGACTCTGGGCATGTTTTTGATGAGAGGATAACATTATAACATGATATAAAACTCAAAAAAGTTGATTTTACATGATATTGCCCCTTTAAGTCAGTTATTCATCCATGTGTTGCACTTGCTTTGTCCTGTTCAGGGTCAAGGGGTGTGACTGAAATGTTATTGAAACATTAAAACAAATCCACTCCTGATATGTAATTTAATTATTATTATTAGTATTATTATCATAGAGTGATAACATTTGTCACTTTGTTTGTCCCTTTTACCTATAGAATAACATGAATACAGTAACAGTGACCAGAATTAAATCTCCACCAAAGACTTACTCCACGTCTCGCTTCTTAATCGTTTTTCCAGATCCCAGGACTTCGGCCACTCGAGATACAATGGGRTCATAGTTCATGCTGGCGACAGCGACCACCTCTTCACTCCTACAAAACAAGAAGGGGGGGCATAGTCAATAGGCTTTCACAATAAAAGACTGATTTAGTGTTCTGGTTAAATATATGAATGTATTACCTGGTATAAAATGCAACAAATCTCAGTTCATCCAGATCTCCTTGAATAATGACATCATCAAATCCATCACCATAACCTCCACAAAGACAAAACAATAAATATATAAGGCTTCCAAAACTTTACTTTTATCATTTTATGTGAACAAATGGTGCATTTCATATCTGTACAGTAACAACACTGTACTTTTAAATTTATTGTGCATCTGCCTTACACTGAAATATTACATCTAACTAAAAAAATCTGAAAATCACCAGAATTAGAATAAGTTCAGAATTAGAATCAGCTTTCTTTATTGTAAGTGGAAACAAAACCACAGATATAACATTTTAAATAACACRTGAACATCCCAGCTTTGACAACAAAGTAGAATTTAAGTAAAGTTGTGTTGATGTGATGACTTTTTATGACAAACAAAACACACTTAGGGAACAGGTGACAAGGAACACTTAAAGACAAGTAGCAAACAACAAAACCAGCAGGGAGTGATGAGACGAGTGGTGACAGCTGGGACTAAKGAATACAAGGAGCAGGTGTGAGATGGAGTAGGACTGACTGAGGGAATACAAGGTGAATGACACAGAGGGGACAGGAAGGAACATGATGAAAACAAACTGAATCAACAAGAATAAAAAGMACAGAACAACCACAGAAATATCACTAATCCTGCCACCTTCAGTTTGCTCCCCTCACCTTTTGACATTTTCCTGAGGATAATTGTGTGAGAATAAAATCTGATGGTTTTCWTCTTACAATCTTCCTGTTATATTTGTATTTGCTGCAAATTTTAGACACATTTGATCTGAGAATGTGGTTTTCGTCCTGGTCGTGGAACACTGGACCAGCTCTACACCCTCAGCAGGGTCCTGGAGGGTGCATGGGAGTTCGCCCAACCGGTCTACATGTGTTTTGTGGACTTGGAGAAGGCGTTCGACCGTGTCCCAAGGGGTCCTTGTGGGGGGTTCTCTGGGAGTATGGGGTACCGGGCCACTTGATACGGGCTGTCAGGTCCTTGTACGACCGGTGTCAGAGTCTGGTTCGCATTGCCGGCAGTAAGTCGGGCTCGTTTCCGGTGAGAGTTGGACTCCGCCAAGGCTGCCCTTTGTCACCGATTCTGTTCATTACTTTCATGGACAGAATTTCTAGGCGCAGCCGAGGTGTTGAGGGGATCCGTTTTGGTGCCCTTAGGATCGCATCTCTGCTTTTTGCGGATGATGTGGTCCTGTTGGCTTCATCGGAACGAGATCTGCAGCTCTYGCTGGAGCGGTTCGCGGCCGAGTGCGAAGCGGCCGGGATGAGGCTCAGTGCCTCCAAATCCGAGGCCATGGTCTTGAGCCGGAAAAGGGCAGAGTGCCTTCTCCGGGTCAGGGGGGTCGCCCTGTCTCAAGTGGAGGAGTTTAAGTATCTGGGGATCTTGTTCACGAATGGGGGAAGAAGGGAGCAGGAGATCGACAGGCAGATTGGCGCAGCGTCTGCTGTAAAGCGGGTGCTGTACCGGTCCGTCGTGGTGAAGAGAGAGCTGAGTCAGAAAGCGAAGCTCTCGATTTACCGGTCGATCTACGTTCCTACCCTCATCTATGGTCATGAGCTTTGGGTCATGACCAAAAGAACGAGGTCCCGGATACAAGCGGCCGAAATGGGTTTCCTCCGCAGGGTTGCTGGGCTCTCCCTTAGAGATAGGGTGAGAAGCTCAGTCATCCAGGAGGGACTCAGAGTAGAGCCGCTGCTCCTCCACGTCGAGAGGAGCCAGTTGAGGTGGCTCGGGCATCTGGTAAGGATGCCTCCTGGACGCCTCCCTGGTGAGGTATTCTGGGCACGTCCCACCGGGAGGAGGCCCAGAGGAAGACCCAGGACACGCTGGAGGGACTATGTCTCTCGGCTGGCCTGGGAACGCCTTGGGGTTCCCCCGGAGGAGCTGGAAGAAGTGGCTGGGGAGAGGGAGGTCTGGGCCTCCCTTCTGAAGCTGCTGCCCCCGCGACCCGACCCCGGATAGGYGGAAGAAAATGGATGGATGGATGGATGATCTGAGAATAACCAACAACTTGAACACACGCTGACTTAAATTACGTGCTATATTTGCATGACRTATTTCCTGTTGGTTTCTTGTTTTGGTTTAATAATTTAGCTTTAAGGACACTCTTATAATTGTAGGTTTATTTGCATTGTTTACCTCCTGTAGGGATTTAAGTCACAGACAAAAACAAAGCCTTCCCAACCTGCATAGCGGATTGTCTTCCCAAACATGGCCGACCAGAAGTAAGGCACAGTTTTGATCTCAGTGGTTCTGTCCATCATGCTGAGAGCTGCCACCCTGCCTGTCGGCCAGCATGACAATAAATCAGAGAGATTAATTTATCTTTGAGCACTTCACAGTACCTGCCTTCAGCCTGCAGCCTGAAGCTGGGGAGCACTCACCRTGTACATGAGCCATCTGCCAGTGAGGGATGTTCACCTTCTTGTTGTTGCGTTGTGGGAAGGGAAACATCACCACATCTCCTCCAGCAAAGACCCCATCAATGTTTGTCTGCATCATCTGCAGATCAGGACCAAGTTTAGAGGAAGAAAGTGATTCACAAACGTGACAAAAACCATATTTCCCCTCAGACCCTCTGGATTTGTAAAGCACCTTGTTCACAGTGATGAAGCCCTTGGAGTCCAAGTGGATGCCGCTCTGCTTTAAAAAACCTGTGGCAGGAACGCTTCCTGCAGAAGTACAGACACCAGAGCAGGTTAAACATGAAGCTGGGTGACAGAAAGGACTAAAGAACAAAAAGGGGGATTTCTCAACGTGCAGGCTTCACCTGCTCCGATGACGCACACATCTGCTCGCAGGACTTTCCCGCTCTTAAGTACCACCTCTTTTAGCTTCGAGACAGAGAAAGAAATGGTCACGTTTCAGCTCTACATTTCAAATTAAAACTAAACTTTTGAATATTTATGTTCAGCATGTTTCACTGCACACGATAAAAAGTTAAATAAGTATTCCAGTCACTTTAAGAGTGTTTTACTGGTTTCTGTGTCTGGTTTTATGATGGGATCCAAGACTGATAAACAGGTTTATGCAGTTATGTCTCAGTTTATTGGTTGATTCATAACACATGAACACAAATTAAAACCTAAGTGATCGTTAAAACTAATTTATATCATTTGAGGACATAAATTGACTGAATTAAACTAAAAAAATGTAAATTCATCTAAAGGTCATTATTCGTGCATCACCTACTGTAGCATCTCTGAGGACTTATTTCAGACACCCACTCTAAAACTGAAAACACACTCTCAAATTATTTTATAGTGAAAATTCACTGTTTTTTTAAAGTGCTTTTATTTTAGTAAAAAATATTGCGTGTCTTGTCTGATTTTCACTATAAATCATAAATAATAGTGCATCTTAAGCAACATGTTATGCTGTTTCTCTCACTTTCTGAATACCTGTCCATGATGACCAATCATCTCTGACACCTCGTTCAGCATGTAGAACTTCACCCTGTTCGTCTCAAACAGCTGCAGAGACAAACGCTTACAGTGAATGCTCAAAAACCCACAAAACACAGCTCATTTTCCATGTGACCTCRGTGATCAATTGCTGCTAATGAAAAGATCTAAACCATCACTCTGGGGTTTGCACTATCGACCAGAAATAAATAATGAGTTTAGCATTTTAGGCCAGTGGGCGCCTCTCAGGAAGAATGCTGATGGCGGTAATGTGGAGGTGCTTCATGATCCAAAAAATGCTTGATTTCCCAGGAGAGGGACWTTACCTTCATTATGACTTTCCCTACTTTCTCCCCGAGAGTCGTTTTGAAGGGGAGCGACTCGACCCCGATGACAGAGACTGAGTGGGCCTTATCAGTCAGAGCTGCAGCCACCTCCATCCCTGCAAACCCAACAAAGACACAACTTTAAAGTTATACTGGTCGCCTAAGATTGATATCAACATGTCAACAAAAAGTGATTCAATTCTCTCAGCTCCGTTTTTACACCTGAAAGACTTAGTGTCTCTGAAATGCATTTTTTTTTTCAAACATGTTTATTACCCTAAAATAACACATTGGGAAATCTTCCATTTGTTGTTATCAATTTACAGAATATTTCCTGTCCTTATGACTCATTCATCTGAACATTTTTGAAGTGAAAAGAGCAAAAATCAAAGAAAATTCAAAAAATATTGTCAGTTTTAACCATTTATTAAATTGGTTTTTGATTGTTTTCAAATTATTATGAGGTTTAAATTCAGATCTCACCAACATACGATGTCCCGACAATCACAGCGTTCTTGTTGTTGGCCAGCTTCGCTATGCTGTTTGCATCCTCAGGCGTCTGGAGGTGGAACACATTCCTGACATCTTTACCCTTGTAGTTCATCGGCTTTGGTCTGAAACAGGAAAGAATTAAAGCATTCAGATATTATTTACAATCTCTGCTGCCTAACCATCACATAGAATATATATTTTTCGTACTTGCTGCCAGTGGCAATAAAAAGTTTCCTGTACTCCATCCTCAAACCATCTTCAAACGTCACCGCTCGGCCCTTCACGTCCAGGGCTACAACCTAAAACAAGTATTGCAGACTTGCAGAGTCACATAAATCGGATTTTAGTGAAAGTTTAAAATACAAAATAAAGGAGAAAAAAGTCTGTTGATTCAGCAAGCTTTACCATTCCAAGCATAATCMAAGGTCCCTCACCTCTTTCTCTGTGAACAGTTCAATATCGTGGTCCTGCAGGAAGTCCAGGGAGCGTAACCTCAGCTGCTCTGCTGTGCTCTCTAAGGACTGAGGGTTAAACAAGTCAGAGCTGAGGAAACAGAAGAATCCTTAAASTAAAAGCAACTCATCTCACTCATATGGGACACATTCTGTCTGTAGATGTGTGGAAGCTGAGTCAGCATTTATTTTCTTGTTTTTTTTTCCTGTGAGTTTTTTGCTATCTACTTCTGCATAATTTGTACCAGTTTAGTCATTTTTATATAAAAAACATTCAACTTATTTAATATATAATATAATAAGTAAGTAATAACTATAATAATATATAATTCAGTTCCTTCAGAAAATCAGTTTCAACATTCTGGATTTATTTTTGTCTTTTTATGCTACTTTTTAGTTTTCAGCTAATCTTTTGCTTCCCACTACCTCTTCGAACCACATAATTAGCAATTTATACTTTGAGATTATTTTTAAAGATAGTTTTATAGCATTTTAATAATAATAGCTAATTTTTTTGAAACTTAGATTTCAGTCAACTTTTGACAACTTTTAGACTTTAGTTAGCATTTTGCCTCTTTTGGCTTTTAGTTAGTATTCATTTAACTAGAGTTTTGTTCATTTTTATCTTTATTTACAAATATTTTTCATATAAATGCATTGAAATATTCTTAGTTTCTTCAGAAATATTCTTCTCTTCAAAATATACTTAGTTTTCTTCTTTGTTTTTATTTTTTTCAGCACTCAGCAATCACACAAACCTTTTAAATAAAGTAAAATTTTTGACAAGCAGCTGTGAACCTTTTAGTTTTGAACTGATTGTTACATAAGGCTGTTGGCGACAGGAACTCTGTCTCAGTGGGTTTAATCTGGGTCTGTGTACAAACCTTACTCAGTTTAGGCCTGTCATACGGAGGATGTCTGTCCATGGTGCACATCACAATGCGATCAGTGAAGCCTTCTTGCCTCAGTGTCTCTGCACACACCAAACCTGCTGGACCTGACAACAAAAACATCACTAGAATGTCGTAATAAAATATGGCAGCTGTGAGAAATTAAAGAAAGATGTTTTTTTTTCCTTTTAGTGAAGAAAAGTAAAGAAACACAGCAACCTGAGCCAATAATGAGAACGTGACTGAAGCCTGAGCTGGAGTTGATGACAGCTGAACATCGGGCCATAGGTTTAGATCTTTTCTGTGACTGAAGAGCCTGGAAGTAAACAAAAAAAAGAGGATGATATTCTCACTAAGTGTGCCCTTTTTGAAAATATATAAATCCTTTATATGTATATATTTTTACCTGCTTGTTTGCACGAATGATCACCTTGTCCTTTTCAACTCTGACCTGGAGCAAACAAACATGACTGATGTGTACACTTTTTGAAGCTGTTTAAAGACACCACACAGTTTGGAATGTGTTCTGAGAAAGCAGCAGGGACGTTCACCTGGAAGGTAGGGAGACTGTCCAGACCCGGGAAGTCCTCGATGTCTCCTGTTGAAATGTTGAAACAGGCACCGTGCCATGGACAGCGCACGTGTCCTTTAGATAGCACACCTGCAACAACAACAACAACAACAAAAATCTTAAATATATGAAATTTTGTCTTTTTTATAATGTGATTTAATCTCAGTAACTATGTGATTCACCTTTAACCAGGGGGGCTCCATAGTGTGGACATTTGTGGCCCATGGCTGAAAACTCTCCGTGTTCTTTGACCAACAAAGCTCTTCCACATCCCAAGTCAACCTCTCTCATTCTGTCCCAAACACAAGAACACAGCACRGCTTCACACCCAAATAAAAAAAGAAAATTAAAAGAAAAATGTTTTTGCATTTCAGCAGGAAATTCACTTTTGTACAAATCTGCAAATGAATACATTACTGGAGCAGCTCACCTAAAAAATGTATCAAACCATGATATTAATGCTCTGTGTACTAATCCACCATCATCATTATAAGTAACATTTTTAGCACCTTTCACAGACAAAAACATCACAAAGAACAAAATTACTAAAAACTATAAAAACAAAACAAGCATAATCAAAAACAATAAAAAGAAGAAAACAAAACTTAACTAAAAGCCTGCGTGAATAAAAATGCCTTCAGATTTGAGCAAATATTATAAAGAAGCAATATTATGGTAACTTTTAAACTTTGTGTTGTCAATACTTCTTTAGCTTTGACAACTCAGTTTCAGCTTTATCTGCACTTTATATCAAAGTCATCCAGCAGCATTCAGGCAACATTTTCTCTGGTTATTTTTGGTCTGAAGTCTCGTTCCTCACACAGAGGTTTCTCTGAATCTCTACATTTTTTAAATACGAAGCTGAGAAACTTTGCTTTTCATGCAAAACTATCATAATGCAGTAATCCACAAAGTGCTGATAAACAAAATTAAAAAGAAGTGCCATACTTTCAAACAACAAAAACAAATCTTAATATCTTAAAGTTATTTGCCTTTTTTGTTTACATTTTTGTTGAAACAAAAACGTTAGGTTTGAGACCACAGTACAAATAATAAATGTCCAACATAAAGATATCACAACTTTGTTCATGCAAAAGTRGAATATTTTGCAGTTTTGAAGAAGGTGCTTCAGAACCAAAACCTTATTGATCAAGTAATTAAACTTGCTTAACTTTATAACTTAATTAGGCTTCTTTGTTGCTGCTGTGAGATCTAATCTAATCTAATCTAATCTGTCAGTGCTCTCCCTTGTACCTATTCTACCCATAGTTTCCACTGTGGATTCTTAACTGCAGGTCCTCATATTAGACCAAGTTCTGTGAGGATGTGTGTTTTTGTTGTTCTTGTGTTTTTCCCTGTGTTTCCACCCTTCAGTTTCCTCAGCTTAATTCTTAGTCTATTCTCAGTTAATCATCCTCACCTGTTCAGTCATCTCCAATCAGTCCTGCCACCAGGTGTTCATCATTTCCTCATTTCCTCTGTTAGTTTAAAGAGTAACTTACCCCAAAATTAACCTTTTTAGCTGATAAACTGTCTAGAATGTGTCTGAAATGTTTTATAGTTCTGTTTCTGTGCTAATTTTGATGTTTTTGTGCGTATTTGTTCAAATCTGTAATATTTGGTCTAAAAACGTGTTTTTGCTGCTCATATGGGTAGAGCAGTGGTACTGCAGGCTAATTTGCATATTGGTTACATACTGGCCAGTTACTCCACACCCTCACTGGATCATTACATGGAACTCTCCTACTGTCTCCTTGCCCCTCGTGTCCTTTTGAGTTTCAGTTTTGTTTTAGCTGCCCTGACAGCTCTTTTGTTTTGTTTAATAAATCTTTTTATTTAAAAATCTCATCTTCTGTCCGGACTTGGATTCATTCCTGCACCACAACTTGACAAGTTCAAATTCCATTTAAATATTATATACTTGGGTGGGGGGGGGGGATGCTAATGAAAGAAGTAACAGTTTATATATTTGTGCATCTATATTGAGTTGGAGATGAAAAATCCCTTACTGTCCATTTTCCAAGTCTTTAACGTGACACACGGAGGCCTCCACATAGTCTCGGGACTTGGGGCCGAGTGGGAGCAACGTGGAGTCGTCATCAGAGCCGTGTGCCAGGGCCCCGTTCAGTCTGCAGTCAGCAAAGGGACTCGCTTTTCCGTTGGGCGACAGGCCGTCCACCTCTTTTTCTTTGTCCAGGAGAGACAGTTCCACTTTAACTTCAACTGCACAAAAGAGACATTTTTTTTCTCAGATTGAAAACAAACATCAGAGTTTAATCTGTTTATGTGAGGATGGTCAGATTAAAGTTTATTCCTGGATTCTCCTCCTATTATTTATTTATTATTTATTTATTCTTCTCATCCTCAGGAGGTGTCTGGAACAAAGTGAATTCTGTTCTTTGCCAGTGCTTTACAAAAGTAATTTCCCTTCAGGCAATGGGAGGGATTTACAACTCAGGGTCAAATTGACTCTGACATCTGGACAACTGAAACAGAGAGCAGCAAGCAGAGAAAAGCAGGACTTTTTAAGGACAGCCTTTTCTTTCTCTCCTCTTTTATATATCTTATCTTTTCTGCTCTTGTAGGGATAATTCAGACGTTGTGAAGTTGATGGAGCATTTTTTAAACTGATGTAAACTGATTACTCATTACTGCTCACTGCTGATCACACACACGTCACACATCCTAAATATCCATAAAACAGARGAGTAAGTTGGGAATTTGAAGCCAAATTTTAAAGTAATGAGGTATTTACATCTCAACAACTCATTTTTCTTGCTTAATAATAAAAATAGTTTACAGTAACAAAGTGAAGAAGACTTATCTCTGTGTTGTTTATATGTTTGATGTGTTTGGTGTCTGAGTGCTGCTGTCGGTTCTGCATTGGTGAACTTTAAGAAGCAGTTGTGTAACTCCACTTTTCACTGCAGCAGTCTATCTGTTTGGCTGAGGGGTCGGGGGGTGGGTAATGTGCTGATCGTCCTGTTCTTACACAGTAATCTGGCTGGAATTTTCTCCTGCTGAGCAAGTCTTAATTAAAATCAATGGAAAATCATAACAGTGAGAAGAATTGCAGAAGAAAGGGGGGAAAGGAAAAACTCTTTGTGCTTAAAAAGAGAATCTCCAGTTGCTGCTGTAATACCTCAGACTGAATAAGACGTCACATCGCTGATGGTTTATCTGATCAGATCACAGTTATGTGGAAGGAATTTATTTGTATTTGATTAATACTTGATGTTCGGAGCTTTGATGCAGACGGGCTTTTTCCTGAACTAAAACACTCTTTAAATGCTGACTCTGTACCGGATTTGTAACCTTTCAGCACTTTTTATGCAAATGAATGAAGTGGCAGTGTGCCATGCCTTTAAAGCTCTTTCCCCTTCATAAATCTAACAACAAAACCGGTTACTCCCCAATGAAGACATTTATATTTAGAAGAGAAAATACAGTTTCTTCATTATTCAGTTTCACTTCCAGAATTCAATAGAACAAATAAAAGCTGTTAATATTCTTTTTATGCTTTTTTACCCTTTTTATAATGCACTTTTTTACAACTGTTATTTGGACTCGATTTCACTGTTTAAAGGCAACAAAAAGAGAGATTAAAGCAAAGCATTTCTCCTCCTTGTTCTCATGTGCAACAGTTTTAAATTTACAAGACAACACATGTTGAGACTTTTGTCTGGAGAGCAAATTGAAAATGTCTCCTCATTGCAATAAATGTGAGCAACGTCAGGATCAAGAAGACTGTTTGGACTGCAGTAAAACATAGGATGTTGGTGTGGTTCTTGGACTGACACGAATGACTTGCTGCAGTTTTAACCAAACATGTCCCATAATCCTTTAGCGCTTGGAGTGTGTGATGAGGATGACTTTCAACTACCACACAAGGACTATCTGCAAAAATGTTGCAGCAAATTTTCAGTTTCCTGAGTTTAATTACTGTAGTTGTGGCAGCCATCTTGAATTGGATGGACTCCAAAAGTTGATCAGTTATAAATGTACATCCAGTGATTATGTTCTGAGAATTTTGTTCAAACTTGTTTAGGGGCTCTGGAGATATTTTTGCTAACAAATAATCAATTAAAGGCACACAGACAATTATATGATTGTCCATCTTTCATGGGGCAGCAACCTTTAAATGTCATCAAATAGAATAAATCTCACTATTCTAAGCTATCTATTCTGCTTATAGTAACTATTCACAAGCCATAACATTATGTCCACTGATTAAAGTGAACATAAACACTTAGTTTTTTAAAAAAAAACAACATTCTGCAAAATAACAATAAGAAAAAAAACATTTTGGTCTTTCTAGAATTGCAGCTTATTCCAAGTTTTTCAGACCAGTCACAGGCAGCACCCTCTCCTCAGCAGGACAGCAGGGGGTTCTACAGGAGCTATTTAATGACTCAGAGAGTCTGAGGTGGTCATTTGGTCTCTGAACTCCCAAAATAACAAAGTGATGGGATTCTGTGGGAAGTAAGAACAATTCACAGACAGTCCAAAATCCACAACGTCTGACTGCTCCTTCTTTATTTTGGTGCATCATAGTGCAGGACATTTCCAGTTCAGGGTGGTCATGCTCCAACTGATCACAAGCAGGTACCGCCTAGGAGGTGGTCATGATTACTGCTGATAGGTGGAGGTGGATAGCATTTATAGTTACAGTTACTTGAGTAACTTTTTGGGAAATAATGTACTTTTAAGAGTAGTTTTACTACACTGTACTTTTTACTTTACTTGTGTTTTTATTATGAAGTATTGTTACACTTGCTTCAGTAAAATTTCTGAATAATCTACCCACCGTACGTAACTTCGTTGAATGAAGAACAGTCATGTTTTAACCAGAAATACGCCAGAGAGACACATGCAGTTTGTGTCAGAGTGAGACCTCTTGTTTTTACACAAGCTTTGTTGTTCTGATGCCATTTTCTATCTGCTGAGACATTTGGAGGTCAGTGAATACTGTAAATGGTAAACAGTAAATATAGTCACTGAAAGTACTTTACTCTGTTCTGTAATACATATATAGGTACACGCACGCACACACACACACATACACACACACACACACACACACACACACACA